GTTCTAGTCACAGGCACTGAGACTTGGAATATTTAATTTACAGAGAGCATGATTGCCTTCAGGAAGCCCTGTGTACGTCTTGCATTCTGATAGACCGTTGTTGTTTAATCTTGTAGGCTTTACAGACACAGAGGCTTGTGTACCTGCAGCCACACTCAGAGCAAAGTGCTTTTTTTGGTAGATTGCCAAAAAGCTTGGCTTGGGAGGTGGCTGATAGTTTCCTTTCCCACTGCTGATGTATCAATGTCTTGTCTGTGATTTTGTTCTGCCTCTGATGCAGAGGTGCAGGTGTAAAGTGCTGAGGTGCACTTGTAGTTTGTAGGGGAGTTTGGCGTGAGGGGTTCGTTGGGTTTTTTACCCTGTATCAGATGGCAAGTAGGGGGATGGGGGTTTACGTGTGGAAGGGGTTAAACCCAGGGCACTCTGCAGAGGTTGGGGAAAAGGCACCAAAGTAGAATGTAGGAGTTCTGTGTATTTTGAGGCTTCTAAACATCTTCTGGCCTTTCTCTGTATTCATTTTGCTAAATTTTGGAACTGGTCCTTGAACTGACTTTCATGACGACATGCCTGGGGACATGAGATTTCCTGCAGACTCTACTGAATGAGTTTGTTTTTCTTTTGCCTTTTTCTGCTTCATTGTTTTAGGTGCCAAGTGCATTTGCAGATGGAACACAGAGTGGCAGTTTTCTAGCAAGATGGTTTAATTACATCCAAAGGCTTCTAATCACAGCTTTGGTGGGACAAGCAATGAAAATGCAGAACTGGTGCATCCAAATTTTGATGAATTGACCTCTGACTGTAATAAAGGAAAAATATTAATTGCCTTATTCTAGATGCTTCAAATTATTTACATTAGTATTTATATAAGAATGATGAATAAATTACAGGAAGGGAGACAAGTTTTAAAAAATCAGCCCACAGCACAGCTACATTTCATCTGTACACCTTAACTAAATACATTAAGATTCATATTCACCATAATGCAACTTGGAAGTCATGAAAGCATTGCACTGATTTCAGCTTTTACACAGCGAGGCAAATGCAAGGAAAAGGGAAAGCATGAATGCTTTTGGAGAAGATCTTTTACAAAAAAGACAAAAACACACTTTTTTCTTTCCTTTTTTAAAAATTGTTTTAGGATTAATGTATCGTACTGCAGCTTAATACACTATAAGAGGGAAAAGAATTTTCTGTGTAGTTGTTATCTGCTGAGTATCCAGCTGGTTTGCTTTTTTGTTTATCTTGCTGTATAGCACTCTGCTGTCAAAGTTCATGAAACTTTACTTACAAATCTATATATAGATTTCTTCCATCATCTTTATCAAATGCAAGTCAAAAAATACAGTTTGCCTATCACTTTTTTTATAGAATGTTATTGTGAGCACTACTGAGAAACATTAAAATATTTTTAACTCTTTGTCCCTCTTCCATGTTAATGATAAAAATAAAAATAACCCACCCTATATTACAGTTTATAAAATTTCCAATAATGTATATGTTAATCTTCATGAACTTCCAATAAACACATTATATAATGGAAATTACACAATTTCTTAAATACTGTGATTTTTAAAAAAAAAATTATTTTTCTATTTAAACGTACATTTTCATGCAGTCTAAAGTAGACAGCTTGGTAAAACTTTTTGGTTCTGGTGTTTAAGTAAATGCTACGTGGCATTACGGCGTCTTTGGCAACCTGACCCGAAAATTGATTGGTTTATTTTCTGCCAATATTTTAGATATGTTGTCTAAACCACGAATTACTTCCCTTAACATTAGTACAGCCTGGGTCTGAATGCCCATTAGTCTATTTCAAACATAATAAATTAATTTTTCTAAAGTAATAAAGATAATTGCTTGAGGGTCAGGGCGAGAAAAATGGAGGGTAAAAGGATCTATTGCCTAAGTTAAAAGAAGTCATGTTTTGAGGTGCAGAACCTGCTCTAAGGCAGAGGAGTTAGTGGCTGAGTTGCAGGTTTTTTTACTTCAATACATTAATATTAAAAAAGTAGAGAGAATAGATAAGGGAGGAAAAAGATCATCCTCTTAAAAAGGGGGCACAACTAGAAGAATATCTAATTTGTATTTAAAACTATGGACTTTTCAAATATCTTGACATTTGAATCATTAGCTAGAATGAGATGGGACAAAATATTTAAAAGTTAATATTTAAAATTGTTTGTTTTAATATCAGAGGTTTATGAGAGGTATTTTGATGTGAGGATAAATACTGGTTTGAATGACTCTAACATTTTGTAGCTGCCCTTTCGTCTTGAAGGAAGAAATATGAAGTATTTGTTAATCATGCTATATTTAAAGGGTTCTTTTTATAATCTAGTATCTTAAGAAAGCTTATATATTGGTATATGCATTTAGTAAGTTTTTCTGTTAATATAGTAGCAACTTTAGCAGAGAAAATATAAATATCCCCCTAAACAGAACACCAGCTACTTATCTTAGTAGCATAGTTTTCTTATTTTAAAACAAGTATCCAAAACAGAGTAAAAAGATGAATATTTTTAATGATGTGAAAGTACTTCAAATGAATAGATCTCCTAATGGAAAAGAATTGTTTTACACTCCTAAAGAGCATGGATGATTTCCATTACTTTTAAAATTTCGACGTCAAATGTTACGCCTGCATAGTTGTAGTTTTTCCTTTGGAAATGTACCTCAGAAGAGTTTGCAAATAATTTGACCTTTTATTGTATTTTTCTTTTGTTTTGTTGTTCATTTGTTCTTCCTAATACCAGTCTCAGAGGTCTAGGGCTAGAACTTGTTCTTAATGTTCTTTCCTCACTTCCCACCCCAACATAATTTAAGGAATTATGTTGCTGTCACTCATTTGACTGTTGTTGTTGCTTCTGGCACACTAATGGAAAAAAGATAAGGGCAGTAGAATTGCAGTCACTGCATACTGAGACTGTTTCTTAAGCAAAAATGTTTATCAAAACCATTCTGTAGAATGTATAGTAGGAGGAAGAGAGTTTTTATGCTTTGGGGTTTTTTTAGTTTGTTTGTGGCTTTTGTGAGAGTTCAGGCAATTAAGTGAATCAGGAGGAAGGAAAAGCTGGATTTGGTGCTTTAACGCTTAGTTGCATACGGAGTTCCTTTTCCACAGAAATTCCTGTTTACTAGTTCATTATTGTTAAATTGTATCTGCCCTCAGTCAAGAGGTCGCGTTGTGTTTTGTACACCCTGTGCCAGTCACGGCCTGTGAGTCATATCACAGTACCAGTGGGGCATATTGATGTGTCTGGATGCTCAGGCAACTCACACAGTCAAATACCAGATGCAGAATACTTTAGCTGCCCGCAGAGTGGAATACCAAATGCCATACAACACTCTCAAACTGCATCCATCGCTTCTCCTCTTTCAACAGGACAAGACTTTTGGCCTTCATCCTATTGCATAAACTTGCCAATCTCTCCTCTGGCAGTCATTAGAAGATGAAGAGAATCGATTTCCCTGTTTTCCAATTCACCTTTCCCCAGTTCAATCTTCCCATTGCTTAGTTATTGCAAAAATGGGCAAAACCAGTATGAAGATAAGCATGCTTTTTTTTTCTGAAAGAATATATATTGTAACATAGAAATGAACTCAAAGTTCTCATAGTAGTGGTTAGAATACAAAACAATTCAGCTTTAGAAGGACCTTAAGTCATTCTTCCTGAGCCACAGTTTCCTAACGATTAAACAATGAAACTAAGAGGAAAAAGAATGAACTTCAGTTTGCCATAAATATATTTGCTTGCTTCTTCCAAGTAGTTGCTGAACAAAAGAATTTGTTAATTGCCCAGCACTTTGGCTGCGGCCAGAGCCCTCTGTCTTGCTCTTTTTTCTTCACATAGAAGAGACTATGTGGAACAAAACTGAAACTGATTCAACTCTGGGGGGTTTACAGAAGATGAGGCAGGAAGGAGTTTGGCAGGGTGGGGGGTGGGCCATAAAATCTTCATTTTTGAGGTGATTTGTCTTATCTCACCAGATGTTTTCCTCTGCATCTGATACAAGTAGCTAATAGGTACAAAAATTACCTTGCATCTGGACTTGGTGAAAACGTGGTAGATATTCCCTAGTGCAGTGTTCACTCATGCCTGGGTAGTACATTTTTGAACTGCAATTTGTTTTGGCTGGCACCACTGTATTACTTACAAAGGATTTCCAAAAATGTAACATTCAGACTGTGGCTTCAGGAACAAAATGCTTCTTATAAGCATAGCAAAGCTAAGCCTCTTACAAAATAAAAAGGGGAAAATGCATCTTCATGCTGTCCAATAAATAAATGGGAGATGATTGGTGAGAGGGATGCACAATCAAAGGTTTCTTAAGACAATCTGATTCCGCCTGGTATGTCCCATGCTTTAGAAGTGTCTGTTTGTGTGATCTTCCTAGGGACTTTGAGCCCAACTATTGTAATATTCAACCATTGTATTTGAAGGGCAGATTTTTTCAGAAAAACTTGAGATCCCATTTAAGCATAACTGAAGCTGGCTAAATGGAAAAGAGATGGCAGCTTTTATCAAAGTGACTAAAATGTGGAAGTTTATTTTTTGTCTGCAATGTTCAGAGCACAAAAACAATTTTAGCTGTTTTTCAAAAAATATGAAATGAGAAGTTGACCAAGAGTCCAGTGTCCTCACCTGCACTTCTGCTTGCCTTTGTCTCTTCACAAGTGTTGGTTTCCCTGAACATACTTCCTCTTGCATCACAGTTTTGCAACTGGAAGCAATCTCTTCAAAAGTGTCTGACCCTAATTATGTCTGACAGTTGGGAACACATTAAAAATATTTGGGCTTTTTGTTCGGGTGTCTTAACTGGAAGGATGTCTGTAAGTGTTGGTTTTTCTCATCAGTGAATTGTGGTACAGTGTGCCTATCACGCTGGCTTGGGATCCTGTGTTAGTGGCTTTTGAGTAATAACATTAATATTTGAAGTACATTAAATACTTGAAAGATAAAATGAGCTAAATTGATGTAAAAAGCAAATCAAATTAATTAGCCATACTATTTATTTTCTAGTGAACAAGCACAAGCCCTGGATTGAGACATCGTACCATGGAATCATAACCGAAAACAATGACACTGTAATTTTGGATCCTCCACTTGTTGCTTTGGATAAAGATGCTCCTGTTCCATTTGCAGGTAGGAACCTACATTTACAGCAACTTTTGAACTTACACATTGTGTTATGAAGTTATCAGCATTTGTAAGAAATTAATTTGTGGTGCAGAGATAATGTAATCTGAAGAACATCTTTAGAGGTTGTATCCAAGTTCTCAAGACTTGACCATTGGCCCACAGACCTTGAAATGAGGTGTCCTACAATGAACGTCTCTGCTTCTTTGTTGTGAAACTGAGTGATTATAAACACTGTAATATGGCATGCTTCCCCTATCAGCATGTTTTTAAATGAAAATATAAGAGTTATATAATTATATTTAAATTTTAAATTATTTTTATAGAAATAAAGCATTACACTTGCCTAAAGTAATAATACATAGTTAATTTTGTTTATTATAACGCCCTCTGCTTCTTCCATTTCCATTCTGCTCCCTGGCTATGGACAAACTATGTGATAAATATTTAAAGTTGCTCTTATGTTACTCTCTTAGTACTTCATAACTGTCAAGACTTGGACAGAAAATTTAATGAAGATTTTGAAGAGTTTTGCTCTGGTTGCTGTTTGATAGATGTATGTCATATAGAAGGTTTTACTTGTATTAATTCTGTTTTTCCTGACACTTGGTCTCTCATATTATGAGTTCCTTAAGCAGAAAATGGTACCTTTGCACATCAGGCAAGTTTTCTTTTAAATTCCCTGTTTCATTAAAAATATTTTTTTGATGACAGGAGAGAACGTTAAGGCTTGATTGATGGTGCTCTGAAGGTCCTGGAAAGGTTCAGTTTTGAAAAGATTATATTGCTTAAGAAGGTTGATCTTTTATAAGGAAAGGAACTGGTGAAGATGAGTATCCTTGTTCCTGTGGAATACAGGCGTGTTCAGTAAGCTGTCAAAAGTTACTTAGTGTCAAAGTACAACAACTTTGCAGAATTTTACAGCATTGTGAAGGAATTGTCAGCCATTTTCCCCACAAGCATACCCTGACATAGACTCGTACCCTGCAAAACACAGATTCACAAGTGCCTTTTGTGTACTGAACCCCATTTTACTATCAAGATGGGTTTGTCACTCGTGGTGCCCCATGGCTCTTGGTTGCACAGAACGCTTTTCTTCCTCGATCATATATGCACTGGGGATGTTCATTGGAGGGGGCTCAGCTAAATTTAGTCAGAGGTCAAAGAGGTAAAAGCCTCAAGCAATGTTTACGCATGGACACCGGCAACCTCAGCATGAAGTGCTTTCATCTGCTGATCAGTTCCTATGGCACCCAGTTACGTGCTAATGGAGGCACAATCAGTGTCTCTTCTGAGGTAAGTAGCCAGCCTCTGGGAGGTACTAATTCTGGTCAGACCAGGTGCACTTCATACAAAGGTGCTCAGGATAAGGCCTTCTTAATCCAGTTACGAGTTTTTGAAGCAAAGGGAAAAGTGTTTCCAGATTCTTTTTTTTTTTAATGCATTCATCAAGAAGCCAACTATACGTTAGAACAAACAAAAAATGTGGAATGAGATTTTGAATGATAAGCTGTTATCTGTAATGTTTTTGAGTACACTTTCTTCTTGTAATGGTAAATTTAATCTACGTATGCAATTTGTTCTTCCAAATGTTTGTGGAAAATTGTAATGTAAACTTAGATGAAATCCTCACTAAACTAAACCTATCTGTGAAATCTACGGGTACAGTTATTTAGGAATGAAGATCAAATCCTGGTGAAAAGATGCCCTTTTCATTTGGGGGTGATTTTTCTGTTACTATGAATGTTCCGTCTCATAGTTGCTTCTTTTACTTGCATTCCCTTGGAATCCTGACAGGGATGTTAATCAGATGTGCTGTTTTCACTGATACTTCTATAAAATCTTTGCTGACTGAGGTTTTTAAGCCTGATTATTTTCTTCTTTTTTTACACTGGGATAATCAACATGTTTTTCTTGAATTAGGGATTTACCCTTCTTTAGAAAATCATCCTTTGAAAGGCTGAACTTGTGCAGACAGGCTGGCTTTTGTGATAAAGGTTACATTAGACAGTAGTTTTAATTTAGTTTATTCATTTATTGATTTTAAGAAATATTATTCTGTCTAGGAGGGAAAACACTTGGCATGTTTTCCCTAATATTAATCGTTCATTTCCAGTTAATATTCTACATTTAGCCTATGAACTACAATCCAGACATAATATTGTAATACTCATTGAACCCTTAATTTCCTTGAAGGGCCTGGATTCCTGTTTGGAAAAACCTCTAGTGTGGTTTTTTTTTTTCCTAAGTCTCTTGCCTTTTAAAATTTTTGGAGTAAATTCTTATTTCTGTTTTAAATTTCTGCTGTAATTTCTGTAATTTTATTTGGCTTCTTAATATAATTCATTTTATCGTAGGTCTTTATGGAAAACTCAATTTCTGTAATCTCTTTAGTAGAGGAAAACTGAAAATAGGTATAGCTACATTAACGGTATTCAGTATATATTTAATAGTACTGTAATGTGGAAGTGCTTCTCTGGCCATGTCTTAAGTGTGGAGATCTTACACTACAGCAAGGGTCGGTAGTCCTTACATTTATAGGCAAGGCAAGGGGAACTGCAGAAAGGAGGTGCAGTAGTGTCAGTTCAGAAAGTAAGTGGCGTCAAAACAAGCGTGGTGGGCCCATGCATTGGAGACTGTAAACCTCCCTGAGTTTTTGTCTCCAGATTCTCAGCATTATGCCTTATAAATAAAAGTTACTGTTGCGGTCTGGGCTGTCTGTAGACAGGCCAGCACGGCTGTCTCCAGGGTTATAATGATGACAAGACATGCACTACTAACAGCAGGCACCAGCAGATCATCAGAGGGCACTGTTCCTTGCAGGCAGGCCCGGTTCTGGGGTGCAGCCCTGGCTGAGAGGAGCCGGGAAGGGCTGTGTGTCCCACTTGCTGTAAATGCTCCCAGCTGAGCAAGAGGAGCCTGCAGCTGGTGCAGGTTTGGCAGCTCTGAGCTGTGTGTTACCAGGCATGCTTTGAGCACCATACACATCACCTTGCTCTGGTCGGTGGCCTGGCTGCACAGGTAGTTTATGCATTTCACATTTTTCACCTATGCAATAGTCTTTCACCTAATAACTACTTTGTTACTATGCACAGAAGCAGAACTAAGCTCGTAAGAGATATCTGGTATTCATCAGTGAGCCTTTTCTGCCCTCAGTGCTTTGGTTTGTTCTCTATACCCATTCTTGCATCCTCATTTTTTTAGTTTAAATGTTACTTGTGACTATAGGTTGTTAGGTTGTCATAGTTAGACCTACTCTAAGGTATAAATTTGTTTTCTCTCCTGGAAACTAATGTTCCTAAAACCTGCACCTTTTTTCATCTCTATGGCTACTAAGTCCTTTATTAACTGTCTTGTCAACCCCTTCTAGTAGCATGCACGTTATGGTGCACGTCAAACCCCTGTTCATGGAGGGGTCACAAGAAAAATGGCTATAATCTGCACTTTATTTTCTCACTTCTGTCTAATGTTTAAAATCAAGGGTGATGACAGGAGGAGAAGGAAATCATCTGTGCAGTTACCCTCTCAACAGGTCTGTGTTTCCTGGGAGGACTAACAAGAAACTAACAGGACTAAATGTGCCTGTGAAAATGCTGGCTGTCAAATGTGATCAGCCTATTTCTTAACTGGAGCATGAAGACTTTCAGTAAATTGCAATGAATGGTCTTTGGTGTCTCTTTATCTTAGGAATTTATTGTGAATTGTGCAATAATTGGAGTATACATAAAAACAAGGTTCTTAAAATTATCATGGTATGAACATATTCACTTTCTCTTTTTTGTGCAAGTACAATTTTCAGGCTCCTACTTTTGAAGGAAAGCTTGAAAATACCATGGCAAATGGTTAAGTGTGCAAAGTAATAGGGATAGTTTCCCAAGCTTAAGTTTTTCAATTCCTGATCTGAAAGGGATTTTCACAAACTGTTGTTGAGATACAACAGATTTTTAAAATTACTGTACTTACCACAGCAGACTGGAGCATTTTGCAGGATATCACAGATAAAACCCCCAACAAAATCAACCCCCCCCACCCCAGCCATGAATAAACAGCAAATTCTGTAGAGATAGGTTGTGCCTTCAGTCCTCCTCTTCAAGCATTATTGTGGAGGTCCAGTATGGGTGTACTTATTTTGTCATTTAGGGAAATCCTTTGGAGGAATCTCTAAAGAAATATAGTCAAATCTACCCAAAATAGGGAATATAACTTTGATTAGACTTGCACCTACCTGCAGGGTCAGCCATACAACTGTCAGCTATCACAGGCTGGTTATGAGGCTTCAGGGATTTAACTTAAAGCTTAGGAGTGGTTTGGCTAGAAACAAGGTGGGATCAGCTGAATCAATTTGACAACGTTCTGTTTCTGTGATAGCAAGAAGCTCTCACAAAATGCTGTAGGATTTTGCAAGGCTCTTTGGAAAGGACATCTGTCTGCATTTTAATAAGAGTGACTCCATTTCATCAGCAATGTTGTGCAAAAATAGATCTGAAAGGAATTCAGGATGTCTCCAGCCCATCCTCCTGCCTAAGGCAGGACCCATTATACCTGTGTCACTCCTGATAAATAGTTTTCTGTCCTAATCTTAAAGATCTATAGTGACAGCGATGTAACAGCTTCCCTGGGCAATCTATTCCACGCTTCACCATACTAACTGTTTTTCATGATGCTTAACCTGAGCTCTCTGTACTGCAATTTTAGCCCATTAGTTTTTATCCTGTCCACCATGACTAGGCAGAGGAGATTATTTTTTTTTTTTTTTAAGCAACCGCCTTTTATGTTACTCCCTTAAAAGCTCTGTGAGCATCTTGAAGGGGGGAGGGGGCTTTGTCTATCCATTGTGCTATCGATACAGAATGAAGCAGAGAAATAGGAGGTAACTTTTGGAACTGTGAGGTGATGGAGGTGATGAATGCCCTTTTCACCTTGCAAGTGAAGAGCAAGCCGAACTCTTCGTCACTCCTGGGCTGATATGCTTGGGTTTGAGTGCAGTGTTGCACCAAGGTTAAGCT